AAAAAAAAAAACTTTCCAATACACCTCATTCTTTGACTTCTTAACATATAGGCTTTAAACTTCAATATTGCATGTAGCTCCCTCCCTCCAAACCACCCTTATAGAGTGGTATTTTTTTATAAAACAAATATATATATATTCCAAATGCCGCCCCATTTCAAGCAGGGCCCTTCAGAGGCTGTGGTGACTTTCAGCCCAAGGGAAGCCATGCCACCCCCACCCCAACTTCCACCTGCACTCAAACCCAGAGCCCCAGGGCCAGGCCAGTGCAGGCATCAGATGTGCTGGGCACTTGCAACGTCAGGCACCTTCCCTGTCAGGCTTGGCGCCCCCTTCCCCCTTCCCACCTGTGTGTGCAGCCATGCAGCTCAGTCATGCGCCGACTCCCAGCCTTGGCATGGAGGGCATCCACGTTTTGGGTCACCAGCCAGTGCAGCTTCCCCTGCTCTTCCCAGCTGCTCAGAGCCCGATGTGCCATGTTGGGCTGGTGGGAGGAAAACTGGGGCCACCCTACGAAGTTCCTGGCCCAGTACTTCTGCCGGGCTGTGGCGTTGCGGAGAAACTCGACATGCTGGACAGGCCGCCGGTCAGACCGGGCGTAGAGGCCCACGCCTTCGGAACGGTAATCTGGGATGCCAGATTCGGTGGAGATTCCTGCTCCGGTCAAGACAAAGAGCCTCTGGCAGCGTAGAAGAAACATCTGGAGTTTCTCTATTGCTGCAGCGTCTGGAGGAGGGCTGGCTGGAACGAATGCCAGGGAGGGGGCAGCCTGGCCCACGGAGGCATGGGAGGCCCAACGGTGGAGTCGAGGAACCAGCCATTCTTCCCAGCTTTTCAGGACAGGAAGAAACTTCATCTACAGGAAGAAGAGGGAAAAAACAGGTTTCCAAACTATTCAAGGAGACATTGACTTTTTTTTTGACCCATTTTGGTGGGGTAGAAAAACTTCCCTTTTCCTGCTGTCCAGTAGTGAAAGGAAGGCAGAGTTTGAGTAGTTCACAGATTGTGATGAGCCATGGTTAACCAAAGTGTACTTGGATGTCTAGATCTCTCCAAGATATAAACATGGCTTGTGAAACACAACGGTGATGTTTATACAGGGTGCAAAACCACACTGAGGCAAGCACACATCGTGAGCCAGTTTTGTCTCATGGCTACGGCAACAAGGATGAAACCAGGATGAAAACTGGCTCGCTGACTTTGGACCTGTTATTTCGCTCAGCCCAACCCACCTCACAAGGTTGTTAGGGAGAAAATAGGAGGAACATTGGGTAAATTAGTGGCTTTGAGTTATTAATGAACACAATAGCAGGATTCCAGTACTTGAGGGGCTGCCCCAAAGAAGAGAGGGTCAACTTATTCTCCAAAGCATCAGAGGGCAGGTCAAGAAACAATGGATGGAAACTAACTAAAGAGAGACCCTGGAAT